CATTTGTTATTAAGTGTCTTGGTCAATAATATCGTTTTTATTAATAATATAAATTTCAGAAATTTAGTTTTACCATTTAATTATTTTATATACGTAAACGTGTCAAATCAAAATGTATAATAATTTAATACATTAGAGTAAAAAAAACCATGTTAAATTTGGCTTGTCCCAATATCTTAAGTAAAATTTAGAATACAATAAATTATTTAATATTTAAAATATTAAAATATATATAATCATAAATTTTATAAATAAAACACATATTAAAAAAAATTGTTGCTTTCCAATTAAAAAATGTTTTTATTACTTTCAAATTGTCTTGCGCTAAAAAAACATTTCAAAAAAATAATTATATTTGTTGTTATAAATTTGGAAAGTTTTTTTCACAAACATATCAAAATCTCTTTTAAAATTTTTTTAAGTTTTATATATTCTATAAAAATGTTCTATAATTTTATTATTACAATAATTAATTTCTAAACTATTTTTAAATGAGAAACCAAATTTTATATAATTTTAGAATAGAAACGAAAATCTGATAACAAATTGATTAAAAACTCTTTTGATTTATTTATGGTAACAATTATAAATTTAGTAGTAAATTTTTTTATTATTGATTCAGAATTGCCATGTCACAATTTTTACAAGTCGCGTCACAATTGTTTTGGTGAAAGTGTTTGTGGAGATGACATATAAACATCTTCTTACAAATCACTCCCTAATTAATATATAAGGGATCTTCTTACAAATCACATAAACATTTTGTCTCTCCATCTACAAAATGAGGAAGTCCTCCAGAGTACAGAATTCAATGCTATCACACAAAGCTCTCAGGACTTACCTCAACTCCAAGACACTGCACCACGCAAGGAAATTCAAGCAAAGAAAAAGAGGGGTAGATCTCCCCTTAAGAAAAGAACTGGTACTACTCCACAAACACGTTGCAAGGAGCCAACTCCAGGAAAAGGAAAACAATTCAGCTACATAAGACCCCAAAGAAAAAGAGTACAACAGTAACAAACATGGGAGGAGAGATGGAAATTGGGAAAGCACCTGAACCTATAGTCACCATGGGCTCTAATAGGGCCTCCACTGGCACAATGGCTCCACCCATAAGACTCATCCCAGCAATGGTGAGAGCCCCTCCAAGCACACCTCGCCACAATGACCAAAAGGAAAAATGAACAAGCTCAGTTGGTCTCTGATACTCCTACAAGTGGAAGAAGA